CATCAGGAGTCTTTTTACATGGGGCAACATCCCCCTTGATACCGGCTAGATGTTTCTTGAACCGGTTTATGCCTCCTTTTATATCCTTCTCACAAAAATTGCATTCTATGCAATTTTATCATTAGGATCTGGGTTGCCGTCATATTTCCAACCGGGATCATCACTCCTATTAGATCCTGAAGAAGACATCTCAAAATAATATAATTTATACAAGCAATAAAAAAAATCACTTACTTTGAGTTTGATTGCTCAATCTCCAAACTTCCACCTCAAAGATGCTTCTAAGGACTCAAAATCTTCTAAAAAAAACCCCAATAGATTTATAAAATATAAAAAATTAAATCTAATATCAATGGGTGATGTTTTGTTTAATTTCTTATAACTTTGAGAAACTCTTCGATCCTAAAGAAATCACCAAAAAGTTAGTTTTTTGGAGGCTTTCTCTCTAAAATGGGTTCCAATAAGTTTTAGGTTTCAAATGAACCTAAAACCCCTATTTTTTGCCTTTTAGTATAAAAAAAATGAACAAAAACTGACCCCACTGAAAGCAATTTCGACCTATGGATAGGGCGTTGGACCTGGGCGGCCGCCCAAGTCTGGGTGCTGGGCGGCCGCCTAGGTGGTTTTCTGGGCGTCTTGGCAGGCGCCCATGAACCACTGCTTTTTAGGGCGGTTAGGCCTGGGCGATGTAGCCAGGATCCCAAATCCGCCTACGCACTGGGCGGTCCGCTTTTTGGAACACTGCTAGCACTATCAAGCCTTGCTCTATCTAGTTCCCTTCATAACCAATATATCCCTTTTCAATAAGACAATGAACCTTCTTTTGAGTGTAGACTTGCCACATCTCCCAAAGCTGAACGTTTTACTTTGTGACGATTGTGTTCCAAGTTCCTGAGGAACTACTTTTTCTATGAAATCCTGAGTAACCATCAATATGGTCTTTATATATTTATCACCACCCTTTAACATGAACTCTGTCTTCAACAGGTTGGGGTTTCCATTACCATAGTAAGGTTCTTGTATTCCAGTGGTTATTATCCTTGTAGTGTAAGTGTTAACTGAAATTTCTAGCACATGGTAAGTTTGGATGTTAATGTTTAGACCCATGCGCATGCCTGAACTTGATTGTTGACATTTCAGGTTTGGACATAATTGCCTCTCACCCACTTTTATTTTGCCCATTGTATTTATTGTGTGCAATTGTGGTTCTTCTCTCTGCTTCAAATTTTTGGTTCCTAGCGTTTTTAGCCACCTAATTTATCATTTTATATTACCTTTGTCCACAATGTATTGCTCTTTCCCTTTCGTTATTTTTGGTGAATGGTAACACTTTTTTTATGCCAGTGGTCTCTTTTGATTTCTTATCCTTGATACTTATTAGACTACCTGGTCTCCCCCTTCTACAATGACCCTTGTGATGATTAGTGACATGGATACCAACAAGAGTGTCAATGTGTCATGTATAATACATGTCTAAAGAGTCTGTACTTCATTGTAAAAAGCTAACAGTGACAGGTCCATACAAGCCATTATTTGAATAAAATAGTAGAGTTTCTAGATATATATGTCTATAAATTTTTTTTTATAACATATTTTCTGTTTTATTAATCTATAATAAAAAATGGAGGAGTTCTAGAGTTGGGGATCCCAATTCATGAGGTTCTAGGATCGAGCTCCAACATTAGTTAGTGCCATTTTTTTATTCACCTGCCGGGTCTACCTGTGCTGACTCGCAGAACCAAGCCGAAGGGGGTGTCAAGGTGACACTGGTGATGATCCTTCTTCGGTTCTCTACTTGGGTGCCTCATGGCTCTCTCCACTAGGAGGTGGTTTGCAGTCATCTATGGTCTTTAGAATTCCTATTGCACTTGGTACTCAAATTCTCAAGAACACTGTAATTCCACATTGTTCCATCTACTAATTTCGTTTGCCTGCAAGCTACTTGCACTCTTGCAGTAATCTTTCCTTACGTTTTCCTTTCTGTATTCACCCCTCAACAAAAAAAAAAAAGGTCTTCCTTTCTGTCTAATGGGAACTAGTGGGCAAAAATATCGAGGTTGAGAAACTATTATGTGTGTGTGTTGTTTGTGTGTTTGTGCTTATTTCTAACTATATATTCATGAATATGTGTACATTGTAGGAGATATATAAATTCTGGATCACGATGTTACTGTCTTGTGTGATGCCTAGATCCTAGAGAGTCAATTACTTCTGAGTACTGGACTTGGTCTGAGCATTGCCAACCCAATAGCAGCACTTTTAAGGAAAAATAAAAAAAATTGTTGAAACTTTCAAATTGTTGTTTCGGCTAGGGTAAAATATGTAAGAAAAATAGAAGTTAAACCTTTTGTAATCATTTAAAATATACTTGTCATAGTCTTGTACTTTTTGTTTATGAGAAGTTCATGCTGCCCACATACACTCTCCAGCCCATACGAATACCTGTTCATCTAAAGTCTTGGAGGGCATCTCCCCCTTTCTCTTATTCGAACAGTTGGAGGGCATATTTCTCTCTCTCTCATTCACTCAAACACACACACACATGCAGATTTTATGCTGCCCATCTCTCTTTCTTTCTTTCTAATTTCTGCAATATCAGCTTATGACCAAAACAGTCCTTAAAAGAATTTGTTCTTGGGATTTGTTTGACCCATAGGCGTTCTAAAACATGGAGAGCAATAAAGAAGAAACTGAAAAGGCCTAGAAATATATTTATTTAGGAGGGAAAATTTAGTGAACTTTGGCCATCCATTTTACATCTAGGCCTTTAAGACTTTAAAAATCAAAATTTCCTTTTTGTTTTAAATTGTCACTGGTGTTAATGAGGACCTCTACAAACTTAGGTGTCAAACAAAGCCTCGTAAGGCTTCAATCTAGCACGATTTTTCTTTCCCAAAATGGATGGGCTATATTTAATTGCATTTTCTGGGATAACAATGCCATTTTCTGGGATTTTCCTTTTTAGGTCCTCTTTTCATGATCTTGTTCGCTGAGGCAACCCATATTCATCTACAAAATTTGGGACCAACAAACCCCCCTTGATAGGTTCTTTTATGAATTTTTAGACTATTAGTTAATGCTGCCCGAACTATGTTATGTGGATTCTTTAGTTTGGGTGTTGTACGCATGTCAAACACATGTCAACATACATTCTAGCACATATTCTTTTGGATCTTGTTGTTAATTAACCATCGATTACATTAGAGGCTTAAGCAGATGAAGTAGATTCAGGATTCTTAGAAAGTTTTGGCAAAGTCTTACGTTGGCTGCGTACCTAACATAACCCACCTCCTTTATGCAGGTTGGGATGGGTTAAGGGAAAGTTTAAGGTTCGCACCCTTTTTAGACCAACATCAAGGACTTGACCTTCTTTAATAAATAATTAATTATTTCTTGCTAATCATCATGAAATGAAATATTAGTAATTCACTGTTAGATATGATTGTCTCTTCGTGACATAGCCCTGCTATTGAATCCTCTTCTTCATTGCATGAGGAATCTGAAGTACCATACTTATGTCAGACGTTGACAAAGGTACCCATTTCCATGCAACATGGAAATGTTGTCTTTGTGGTGCCTCAAATATAAGGTGCCTGTATAGGCAGTGCCTTCCTTCTTTCAAAAAACTGGTTATACTATATTGGAATTTAGCAATGACTTTAGTGCTGTTCAAATCACTATTTAGACCGAATTGTGATTCACACGTCCTTCAGTTCTTGAACTGTAGAGTCAAGGTTCTAGAGTGAACACATCTCTCCAATGGCCTGCTAAAATCTGTCTGATTTGAAAATCTTGGTTGCACCTATTTGCATCACATCGTCTTGCAAATGTCTATACCTTTGTGCATGTGTGACTCAAGTAAGCCTCGTTGTATTCTTAGTGACCAATGTGCTCCAGGGTTACCGGACAGTTTGGATTGTTAGCAATGGATCTCAATACATTCCATTGGATTTGATATTAAAAGCTGAAGCTGAATATGCCCTAGTTTATATACCCCAAATGGTTGGGATAAGGCTTGGATGATGGAGCTGAATATGCCTAGTTCATATCATATGATTTCGTATCGGCTTAGCAATATCTAGGAACTTATGAGAGTGGTAACTATCTCATTCTGCCCTTCTCAAGGGGTATAAGTTTGAGTACAATGGGGTAGGATGATGGAAGTACCCCACATGTAGTTTTGGGCTCATACTTGGGTTGGTGCTTCTCTTTGGAGCTTGAATCCCCTTCAGATCTTTGTATCTCGTTCCTTAGCTAATTACTTGGCTAGTAGACTAGTTCAACGAAAAGCACCACATGGATGCAAAAGAATCATTATTAATAAAGTCAAAGGTAGGATTATGTCTATTACACTTTCAGCAGTGGTCTTTTATTGCTGTGCTTTTTGAATGACTCACGGTACATCTGATCAAATTGAATTATTGGGTGGCTTTAGTTTTTGAACAGTGTTGGATAAATGACACATCCATCAATGCATGTTCCTTGTGTTAATACTGCTCATTCATATGTATAGGGATTTTTTTCCTTTCTAACTTATCAAAAAGTTGGAATTTTTGTCTTTCTTTTATCTGTAGACCTAATATGTAGGGATTTTTCCTTATGATGTTGTTCTTCGCATTGAATAGATGGTCTATGTCTGTCGAATAGTCTCGATGATCTGTAGATTTGAATAATTTTTTATAAAGAGTGTTAATTATCGATTTACTTTTAAAGCCTTTTGTAGTTTGGAATATGATGCTTCTAGTTACATATTACTTTTCCTAGGCAATAATTTCCCAGTGAAACTTCTACTTTTGGTTGTTATATTGATCTTTGCTATCATATTTATTGTTTGTGACATGACTTTATTCATCATTTATATTATGTTGTGAAAATAGTCTTTTCCTACACATTGCTTCTTCAATCATGATACTGGCTCAAATGCTCATGCATAGTGCTGTGCAAATGTAACCCTATTTGTCGTTTTCATGTATTGGCATGATACTATTGTTAATTTTCAGGATGCTCTCAGGCATGTATTTGCTGGAAGGATCGTGGATATTCGTGATTGTCCCTTGTGGAATCGTTTGTCATTTGTTTCATGCTCCTGCAATGGTTTAGTTCTTATGGATGAATCATTGCAATTGCTTCCAGTCGTGGAAACCCTGGATTTGAGCCATAACTCTTTTGCCAAAGTGGATAATCTTTGGAGATGTACGAAATTGAGATACCTGGATCTTGGATTCAATCACCTTAGAACAATTGCTTCACTGAAGGAGGTACCCTGCCTTGTCACCACCTATTCTTAGCCATTTTTATTCTGTGGTTCATTTTATGTGATTTGGGTTGTATACAAATGTACCTTGCCTTGCCACTGCCTATTCTTACCCGGTTTTATTCTGTGGTTCATTTCTTGTGATGTGGATTTTATGCAAGCTGGTTAGAGGAATATCGTACCATAACAGACAATCCTTGTTGCCTTCAGCACAGCATAGTGATTCCTTAGGACATCATCTAAGCATGGAACCTACTGTAGTATTTCACCTTTGTCATTTCGAGATTCAGCCATTGACCTCTTCCATGGATTTTGTTCGCCATGCAGGTGACATGCCCAATTACTAAGCTTGTCCTGCGTAACAATGCTTTGACAAGTTTGAATGGGATTGAAAACTTAAAATCAGTTGACGGGCTTGACCTTTCTTACAATATTCTTTCCAACTTTTGTGAGATTGAGCTTCTTGCAAGCCTACCATCTCTTCAAAACTTGTGGTTAGAGGGCAATCCAATCTGTTGTGCTTGGTGGTACCGACCTCAGGTTTTCAGCTTTTTTACCAGTCCAGAGAAAGTAAGGCATTATTTTCCTACCTTGGAATTGGTTGCCACTTTTTGTGTTCTTTGCCCATATCTTGTATAATTATGATTTGCTGTCTATCTTTGACATGCTTGTCATAATATAGTGGAACTTTTTATTGGAAAAGTTTCCTTGGGCAAGGGATATTATGCTAACACTTCAACATACTTTCCTTCTTTAGTTGGTTCTCCCATTTCTCTTTTCAGCTCTGAGGCATTTGACACTTTCTATCATTTTTTGGTTCATTCTCTAGTTACAAATAGACGGTAGAGCACTCAGTGCAAAAGAGACATGGAAGATGCAGATCCTCGTTAAGAAGAGGCAAAAGCGCCCTGCTGGATTTGGGTTCTATTCTCGCGCAAAGGAGTATGTTCAACAAGATGGCAGTTTCAACAGGCAAAGCGTAGGCCGTTTCTTTGAACTTATTTGTTAGATATGTTCATACCTTCCTTGACTACACTTCAATGTTTGTTATGCTTGCTATTTTTGTGGTGACAATAATGGTTTTATTAATGTGAGAGTTAGTTTAGAAATTGTGGGCTCGCCATTGGCCTTCTAAATCCCTTATGTTACCGAACTGCTGTATCATTCTGTTGTTTTGTTGTTTCTACAGAAAAAATCGTCCAGGCTTGCTTGTATTGAGGATGCAGAAAGGAAGAGTATTTTCGAATCAAACGATCATGAATCAGGATCCTGTGATAGTGAGCAACAAAGAATAGACGACAATTATGTTCCTGAGGATGAAGCAGAAGTTCTGGGCCTAATGAATAGAATTGAATTGATGAAAAAAGAAAGGTCTATTCTTTGGTTGCGAGAGTTCAAGGATTGGATGGATCATCAAAGTGACGGGGATGCAGGGGAGAACAGTAAGCTTATAGGCTCAAGTCCCAGGAAAGCAAAGTATAAGAGAAATAGAAGTCATAAACGCCTTGGAGAGATCTCAAGATATGTTTCAGACTTGCAAGATTCAGAGGATGAGTCTAGCACAAACATTTTAGAGTCTGATACTTTATCTCAAGATAATTTTCATGGTGACGATAGCCACAGAATTATCAATTCTAGCAAAAACTTCATTTTTGGACCTTCAGCGATGAATGATAGTCGGGAAACCACACCACTGTCAGCATTCACGAAGATGGATCCGATGAAGGACCTAATGAGTGCTTCTGCTAATGAGGTGCAGAATTTACTGCAACATCCTGATGTACTTATGAATGAGATGGGCAGTGAGAAGGATGGAAAGAGAAGTACTAAGTCTATGACATCCTTTGATGAGATAATGGAATCCCGCTCTTCTTCTGTTTTCCTGGCTTCGCCACCTCATTATAGAGAAGACATACTTCATCGACGGCAAAACCTTGAGGAGGAATTCATGCAGCTATCAGCTGGTTCCTATACGGGTGGCTCATCAGATAGTGATACCAGTAGTGATGACACTGATTCCTTCATACTCAATGCCTCCTTTGCTGGAGTTGATCAAACACTGAATGGAGATGCCCTGAAGGATAATGTAGGAGGCAAACTTGACGAAGAACTCTCTGTTGAAGATTATTATGAGAATATTCATGGCAGTGATCATGACTGTCGCAAAAATGGAGGAATTAGTTATGAATATGCTGACCAAACAACTGGAATTGTGAAAGTTTCTATGTTAGATCATGCCAAACCATCTTGTATGGATGATATTTTGACTGACTCTGGTGGTGGCATTGCTGACCAAGTTATGGCCCAAGGTGTTGATCTTTCAGAAGTGCCTAAAAGGAGGCGAAAACCAAAAACAAGGGTTGTTTCACTCCCTGAGAGTTTGCCTATCGGAGAGATCTCCCAACAAATTACTGGTGTTTTGGATACTGATTGGGCTAACTTGGAATATGTTCAACAATTGTCTGAAGGGAAGAACTCCAATCGTTCAGTTAATAATGGTGCAAACTGGATGCTGAGAAAAAGAATGGATGAATCTCTAAGAGATAGTGCTGATGGTTCTCTTTCAAAATTGAAGTCTGATGAATATCCAAGTGATGAAAATGATGACTTCATAAGGAACTACTTCTGTTTGAAGATTGCAGATCCAACAGTGTCTGAAACTTGTCAGCGTTATGTACTTTGCAGCCATCTAGATTTACGCCACCATGGCTCAGGTGTTATGGAGAGGTATTCTTGATGACCCCGTGAGTTATTTCATGGATGAATTGTCTGGGAAGTTTGTTAATGGATTCATGTTTCTCTGTTTTTTTATGAATAATTTTGCAATTTATCTTGGGGATCGAAATTTTCTGAGCTTTCCAAGTACATTATGAAGGTGTATGTGCTGAAATGATGGATGGCTCACTTTATGCTTCATAACCCAAATATCTTTTGGCTGCAAACATTTGTGAAGATGGTTTATTAGTATTATCATAGCTTGATTAACTACTAAGATGCTGGATTTTGCAAAAGACAGATTTATAAATTTCATGCCGCTTTTGTGATACTTTTATTTCATGGTGCAGTTATTATGGTTATTGCCTTTGTTGTTGATGATATTCTGGTTTATAATTGTATAAGTAATATGCTTCTCTGTTTCCAAATTGTGCATCCCAAGAGGATAATTAACATGCTGAAGTGGGCTAAATTTATACTATGTGCAAAATATTACTGCCCTGTGGTCTGCTAGAACTCATTCAAAATGTGTTTGTAGGACCAGTTCTTGCTGAAACAGATAATTTTTAATCTGTCTTTCTTATGTAAGTGTTTTATTTTCATTTTGTATGTTCTAGTGTGTGGAGCAAAAAGTATTTAGGTGATTTAAACCAAGGATTCTCTCAAGAAATTGACACCCATGTATTGCACATAAGATGTCCTTTATAATATTTACCTTAACTGTCTTGATCATATGTTTATTTTCGTTTTATATATTTTCGTGTGTGTACCAGAGTCACTTATAGGTGATTTAAAGCGAACTGTCAAAGTGTCTCTCAAGAAACCCCCACCCATGTTCTACCCTTTTAAATTTCCTTGTTCTTGTATAAACTACTGGACTAGATGACTATAAGAGGCATTCGGTATACTATACTCTAGTATAGAACAGAGGCATTCTGGGCTGACTACTACGACTACATGCGCATCTAGATCAGTGGCTTGGAAGCCGTAAGGCACCCTTGACCATCTTCCAAAGTTCTAAATAATCTACTGGTCAAATGCTGTAGGAGCGGACTGCTCTACATTCAGCCACGCCATAGCCCTCAGCGCTATGGACGGGGTGACAGAGGTGGAAAGAAAGCCCGTTCACTCATAATTGCATAAGGGGCCTTCCTTAACGTCGAAGCTAAGTGTGTCGCCTTCATTGAAAGCCTATAGCACGTCTCGTCCGGCTTGGCTTGGAAAGCGAGCTTAGTTAATTGTATCCAAATTGACATTCTAGTATGGCACTGGTGGTGGCCAAATTCCACAGATTGGGAAGTTGATAGTCGCAATGATGTCTGAACTTAGATGAAATTCAATACAGAAGATTTTAGATAACTACTAATCCCTCCAATGTGAGTTACTGTTAAAGGCAGTTAACAACTCTGTTCTGATCGATCTTTCTTTCTTTTTCTTTTTCTGTTTTTGTGTGGAAGGTAACCATGCCATTCAAGTGTGAATTTATACTTTTTGTGGAATTTGAGAATGCAAACATACGGAGGCGCATGGATGGGGAAAGAGGCAAAAAGGAATAAGAAAAAGAAAATGACAGGAGAGCACCAAAGTGGCCTCTACTGGGTTATGTAGTTTATTCTTACTAAGCCTTCCTCTACCATCCCATTTTTAGCCAAAATATCCATCTCCCATTTTGCTTCTCTACTGATATGATAACATGATCTGCATGCCTTGTGTGAGCTACTACCTCCTCCATAATATCAACGAGTCTCCCAGGAAAACAAAATCCCGTAGATCGGAAATAACTAAATTACTGGAATCTCCATGTACTAGAAAAATCTTCAAGAAGAACTTGCGGTTTAGTCCAAGATCATTGAGAACGGCTAATACTTCCAAAGAGGACACGGAGACAATGCTCTTGGGTACCTCAATATTCCTCCCACCTCAACCATCAAAATAGTGAATCATCATTGTCATCCCAATTGTCCTGTGAGACTGTCGAAATTAATCTTGACTACCTCCGCCGGAGGAGATCGCCTAGAGGTAGCTCACCCCCCACCTGATTGTCAGCTAATGCCACATCCTCCAGTTCCTTAGCATATCTAAAATTCGGTTTCCCGCTAAATCTTTCTAAAAGCCCATGATTTAGTGTTATCTTGGATTCTCACAAACTCATCGGCCCTGTACTAAAAACATAGTTTACAAACACCAAAAAAACCTTGATAGTAAGTCCATATGTTTTTATCATAGAAATGATATCCAAATATGTTTTGCTGATTTTTTTTATTCCATTGATTGAAAACAAATTTTTTTTTTGGGAGAAAATTCACTTGTATTGCATGAAAAATGAGTTACATCAAAGGGGGGCCGGGGGAAACAATGCTATACAGCAAAAGGGAAAAGAAAGGAACTTGTGAAACAATTAGGAAACATAATTTTAACGAGCTCCCTCCTTAGCTTGGGAGTTAGCATTGTAATTGGCTTCCCGGTAGACATGGATCCAGGAAATAGTGAGACCTCCGAGTTGTCTTGAATGGTTAATTCGGGACTCCAACAATGGTTAAACTTGCGAAGGCCCTTCATGAGGGCAAGAGCCTCAGCAAGAGTCAAGTCCACTAAGCCAATAGGACGGGAGCAAGATAAAAGGGTCCTGCTATCATGGGTTTGGAAAAGGCCTCCAATTCCTCGCGGCCCAAGGTTTGCCTATAGAGCAACCATCAAAATGGAGCTTGACAAAGCCAGGCTCCGATGGAGATAGTCTCCGAAGCAAGGCTTGGGCAATTCTAAGGGGTCAAGAGATAACAAAGAATCCCAATTGCTGAAAAAGTCGTGGTAAGCATAATCTTTGAAGAGGCGGTGGTTTTTGCCCCAGAAGGAAACAAGATTTTTGACTTTATCAAACAATGAAGCAACTCTCAAGTACTCTCCTGAATATTCGATTGCGGTAAATGAATATTGGTCATCATAGGGGCAGGAAATCCCATGGAGATCCAAATAAGCTAGCATTGAGTGCAACAGAATCTTATTATCTAGAAAGGTTAATGAATGAAATAGTTAGGACTAATCATCATCATCATCTGACTCTTATCCAAACTAGTTGGGGTCGGCTACACGAATCTTATTTTGCCATTCCACTTTATCAAGGGCCATATCCTCAATCAGGCCATAAGTCACCATATGTCTTCTCCTACTTCCATCCGTATCCTTTTGGGTCTTCCCCTTGCCATGTTAGAGCCTTCTACTTGAACCAAAATGCCCCTCCTAACCGATATTGTTCTAGGGCAACGCTGCACATGGCTAGCCCACTTAAGTCTACTTTCCCTCATCTTATCGCCTATTAGAGCCGCCTCTAAGTTCTCTCGAATGTATTCATTCCAAATTCTATCATTTCTTGTTTTGCCACTCATTCTATGGATATATTGTTTCTTGACCGCCAACTCTCTAGCCCATAAAGCATAGAAAGTCCCACAATCGTCCTATAAAACTTTCCCTTTAATTTCATATGCATGCGGCGATCACATAAACTGTGGAAGCACATCCCCACTTCGCCCTGCCAGCTTCAATTCTATGTGCGACATTTTCATTTTGCTCTCGATTCTCATGGATTATTGACCCTAGATATTGAAAATAACCCTTTAGTTATTTTTTGGCTATCATTCTTAACTATTTTCTGTACTCCTATTATTATTAAATTTGCATTCCATATATTCTGTTTTAGTCCGGCTAATTTTAAAACTTTTAGATTTTAGAGCTGCCCTCTAAAGTTCTAGCTTTGCGTTGACACCGTCTCTAAGTCTCATCAATTAAAATTTTATCATCCACAAACAATATACACCATGGTACCTTATCATGTAGATGCTTAATGAACTCGTCCATAACCAAAACAAGAAAATATGGGCTTAACACTAACCCCTGATAAAACTTGCTTGTCTCTCTACTAGTTGTTCTTACATTATTTAGCACTCCCTCGTACATATCTCTCACCATGTTGATATGTATGTTAGATATATGCCCTTTAGAGACTCCTTTCTTTTCCTATACGACTAAATTACCTCTAGAAATCCAGTTGTATTGAGCTCTTCTTAGTTGTTGAGGGGGATTCCAAGAACATTATTCGATGGGCCTCTGGCCTTTCTCCTTGGCCTTGGACGCTTGCTCATATATTTGACAAGATTGTGCACATTTGTAGGGGTATGGACGTCTCTTGGAGGTATATATGGCAAGAAGGAAACCATGAAGCTGATTCTATCGCGACGGAGGCTGTGTCGTTGGTTTAGACACTTCCATATTCCTTACTTTTGTTTCCCCATGGGACCTGTTTTGTACTTACGATGACCTCTATACTGGTGTTTTTATATAGGGTTCCCCTTGGGGGGGGGGACTTCTATATTTTTGTACACAACTCCCTTTCTTGGGGATGCCATTTTTTATATTGAGCTCCTAGCTTGTGGGATGCCTCATTTTTTACCTACTATACTGGTATCTCCTTTTCTTTAGTAGTATTACACTGTTAACGTCTTCAAAAAAAAAAAAGAGAGAAAAAGACCATGTGGTCTTTTTTCTTCTCCTTAAACTTCTTAATCAATTGCCTAAGTACAAAAATAGCCTCAATCGTTGAACTCCGGAGCATAATCTAACTGATTTTCTGATACACTCATTTTATGTCTTAGTTGTTACTTAATTACTCTCTCCCACAACTTCATAATGTGGGTCACAAGTTTGATCCCTCGATAGTTTGTATAGTTTTGTATGTGTCTCATTTGTTCTTGTAAATAGGTAACCACAATACTTGTCCTCCATTCATCTGCCATTTTCTTTGTTCTCATCATCTTAAATAATTAAGGCGAATAATAGTTTATTATAATTCGAAATAAAAGAATGACCAGAATTATGAAATACTAAAAGAATGACCAGAATTATGAAATACTCAACATCGAAGGTATTGTAATTCTTTTCCTATTTGTTGATCTGAGGTATTGTATTTCCTAATTCCCATTCCTTTCTGAGCTGTCAGATGGCATTTTATAATTACCTTGATTACTTCTCAGCTCAAAAATCCACCGGCTAAAATAAAAGCCTTTGCCTTTTTGATGTGGAACATGCAAACTTTCAGATTGAGTAAATATCTAGCAAATTTTTTTATTTTTAAGACTTCTTACATTTTCATGAAGATAAATTGAGACATGAACAGGTTAGAGCCCAACCGGCAGACAATTGACACATATGCCTCAAACTTGAGGCATAAATACCTTCCAAACTCCGCAGTTCTTGGGTTCTCTAACCGTCATCTGAAGGTTTCCTTAGGCATTGTTGTTTGCCTCAAATTCTCAGTAATGATTTAAACTAAATTCTTAGATATTTGTACACTCTTCATATTAGGCATTACTATTATCCTACTGATTAGACGGGGATTTGTGGAATCAAGATTTCTTGGCCACGGTATGGACATGAGAATTACTACCTGTTATGAAGGATTATTTAGTTGAACATCATTTGTCCACACAAACATGACTGGCAAAGTAAGAGGTGCACCACCTCTACCATGAATATATTTACATGCTATTCTTGGGTTATAAAAATACAAAAATTATAAGAGTATCCTATCTGATTTTCCAATGTTTATTTATGCTCTAATTAGGCTCTTTATATTCATAGACGGTGTTAATAAAAGCATCTGTTCATTGCTGATATATATGCATACTTCATCATACATTTCTGATTGCCAGTCTTCCCTTTGTTTTCAGAGAAATCGCTGTGTTGCTGAGCAGTGAAAACAAGCTCTACTTGTTGTCGATATTCTCCAGAAACTGTAGGCAAGGTTGGATTTGTCTTTCCCTTTTTTCTCTGGACTTGTCTTTATCTACCAGTTGTTTGTGAGCCATATTCAATTCATAGGCAATGTTGCTGCACTTTGTTTTAATGAATATTGGCAGAGGTTGCTTTGGAAATTTTGGGAATCTATAGGCTTGAAGCCATAAAAGAGGTGGTGGTTGGAATGGGACTTCAGATTTTGAGGTAATGTAGGTGCTTTTCTTCGTTGTGTTAGGAAACTAACCAGTTTCTTTTTCATTTGACTAAAATTTAATATTGGTAGGTTACACATTGATGGAGGCGCAACTTACTTGCTCATAACAGAGACAATTGAAAAATCAAAGGAGCTGCTGGCTCTACTGCAAATCACATCCAACAAAGAAATGGATAGCTGTCGTTTGATAAGGTTATTCTTACAGGATTTGATTGTTTATCATCCCTCTTCAGTCACATGCTTCTGTTTTAATGTAAAGTATAGATTCATGGATTGAGGTTGGCCCACGAAAATTGAAATGGCAGCTGGGAGCAGGTTCAAGTCAATTTGCTTTATAAGCATATCTGTGGGGGTATGAAGATGAGCATTGTCCTATACTCATTGTTGCTGTTTTGGCAAAAGAGTTCCAAAGGTATGTTTTTGACTAACCTTGCATGATTAGTATTTATATTTGATAAAACAGCCAATGTTATCTGGTCAATGTGCAACCCACTTGCCATGTCTGTTAAGTATGAGAAATAATACTTCTTGGTTATAAGTGTTTATCAATGTGTCTATCAGGCTTTGGCTTAGTGGTGGACGTAGCGTTTGGGTGAGGAACGTCAGGGATTGGACCTTCTGAAGTTTGTCCTAACCATATCAAACTATTAAGGATATAACTTGTGGGGATCCATGGATAACTCTACAAATCTCATTCTTAATTTGTTCATACCGGATCTGTACAAAATCTTGTCAAACTTATAACTATGCTGGTCTTATTTGTTTTATACTCTTGTAATATACTAATATCTGATATTGTCATGGGCATGTTTGTATTATTGGCAATATCAATATGTATATGTGCACACACAGACATACATACATATATATAAGGACATTCAAGCACGCAATGGTTAGCTTTGGACTATTCATTGCAGATTTAGCCACTCTCCTCTACTCGCGCATTAGCTCTGTCTTCTTTCTTTTATGGTATCATAGCTTGTTGGTTGGAGAATGGTTCAAGAGGCTTTCATCGAAAGTTGACATTTAACCCTAATTCTATTTCTTTCCCTTTTCTTTTTCCTGGTATTTTTCTTCTCAAATTCAAACCCTAACTCTACTTCTTTCCCTTCTCGAGTCTAACCTTTCTTTCACTACATACCCTAATCTTCCTACCTCCTCTTAACCGTTTTATTCTCTCAATCAATATTCTTCTATCATACTTACTTTTGTCTTGAAATCAGATTAGAATCTTTCATATTCTTCCTCTCAAATCAGATCTCAAAAATCCAAATCAGATCTGCAGGAACCCTAAAATTAGATGTTAAAACCTTGAACATGATATGCTTGACCTAAAATCAGATCTAAAAATTTCAGATCAGATCTAAATTTTCTTTCAAAGTTTATATTTAGGGTGTGAAAGTTTCAAACCCTAAATTCTCGTTTTTTTTGTGAAACCTAACTAAAGTTTCAAAAACCAAATTCTCTTTGTTTTGTGAACCTTAATTTTCCATCATGTATTCTTCCACATGTGGTCTCTATTAAATTTGATTCTACCAACTTCATTATCTTGGAATAGTCAAATTATTTCAATGATAGATGGTTTGACACAGGCCAGTCATTAATATGCTGGATAAACTCCACTCCCTCTGGACATTATATCTCAAGTGATAGGTCTTCATTCGACCAAAGAATTGTGGGATTTCCTTCATGAACTTACTCTCAGTCATCTAATGCAACTTGATGCATATATCTACTCCAGCTGTGTAAGAGATAGAACTTCTCCATTAGTAGTACTTTAATAAAGTGAATGGTTTTTGTGTTCAACGAGCTGCAGTTGGTCATGAGGATGATGATAAAATACTTTACCTACTTAGAGGATTAGGTGAAGAATGTGACATGTTCATCCCATCTGGTCATGTCTGCACCACCTATGCTTAGCTCTAATGAACTTCGCCCTCTCTCATTACAACATGAAGCTTCATTTAAGAAATATCAGTCGCAACTGAAAGATGTTTATGATGCCTTAAATGCCAACTCTTACAACTCCAACATGGCTACTAGAGGATGTGTAATCTCCATATCAGTCCAAAGGATTTAGCACACGCCACTCTGGATCACCTAGCTCGATGGCACATTAAACTCGATCCTTGCTGAATCTTCATAAGATGTTAATCTTTATGGAAAATCTAGAATACTAGATAGGATAGATAGAAGAGAGCAAAACCAAGCAAGAGACACCTTAACATAGTAATGTTTACACCTCAATTCAAGATCTAGTGCTAGGCTTACATGGGCCATGCCACCCTAGGCTATCTTGGGTGGGGTGTGCTACCCTGTGGTGTGTGTGTGTGTGTGTGAGAGAGAGAGAGGAGGGGCGAGGGGAGGGGGGGGGGAGGGGGGAGGGAGGAGGTCTTCGTTACGTGATATGTATTTCAGTGGGGCAAGACCCCGTATTTATGGTGATGTCTAGGTTAGGGTTTGCTATCTTATTTGAGATTCAATTGGGACTATTGATCCTAGTGATCTGTGGGGTGAAGCGAGGCTTTTAATCTCAGCCTTCAATTCCCCAATCAACCATCATGATAGAGGGAATAATCTAGAACCATATACCTCAGTTCCTTGACCCATTCTCTTTTAATTTAAAAAGATAAGAGACTTATCCAACAGATCTTGTTAATCCTTATCGCAATTCAGCTAGAAGGTTTCCAAACCTTCTAGAACACTTCTCTAACCTTTCCTAACTTTTCCAAACTTTATCAACTACCAAGTTTAACTTGGTCAACAAAGAAGAAGGAAGGAAAGAGAGGGTTGTGTGGGCCTAGGAGCCCAGTGTGGGCCCTTTGCCACTAGGCCCCATGTGGGTCATAGGTAATTTTAAAGGCCCCAGACAATTTTATACCCCTCCAAGTACTTTTAAAATGAGTCATAAATTTGTATTGAAAATTACATTTATTTAAAATTTAAAATTTATCATATAAAAATAAAATATATTGTGCACTTTAGAAATTCATTTTTTTGATTAATGAATTTTCTAAAACATAAACAAACGTGATTAAAAGAGAATTGGAATCATCGGGTCAGGAATATGTGAAAATACTAAGGCACTTTACCTATGCTAGTTCCCAGGGTCGACAGACTATCTTCTGAATTCAACCCTATGGAACCCATGACCCATAGTCAATTTCAAGGAATTTCAAGGGCTCATGCTCGGTCCATCAAATATGGCCAATAAATCGAGGGAACGTAGGTCTAGTGCATGGATTACATGTTACCCTCTAAGGACAAGTCAGGTCTCACATAGATATGTGCACACTATTGCAATAGTGCGGGGGGCTTCTCTTTAGCACATGTACATGTGTCACCTCAACACGTCATTCCCCTAGATGTAAATATCATGTGTATATGTTGTGCGGTGGTAATGTTGAGGATTTTGCCCTTACCCATCAAGCAACCAACCACACACAGGAGATCGGTCACCTCCTAGCTAATCCACCTTGGGCATCTCTCTGACCTCAACAAGAGATGACCCTGGAAACTATCTACCGTTGTGCTTTATGCCCAGAGCTAAAAGGTTTTGGACTTCGCTCCCCGACCTAGACTCCCAACTCAGGTGAGTCAATATGCACTATAGAACATGCCTCTCTAGTCCCATATGGACCGCACTCCTACTAGAATCATAGGTTTTTACATGCTCTCATGGCTTTTGAAGGCCACATGCCCCAACAATTTTCCCTTTATGTGCTTTGACAATTGAGCACAATTAGAATACTTTGTAGTTTAAGGATTCACACATGGCTTGACCATTTGAGTCCTATTTTTGTATTTTATTTTACTATATGATTTGTGTACTAGGCTATAATTTGGGTTTCCACTAGTTTCATAGCACTACCCGACTGTCAGATGTTAATGACAGACGGTTGGGGTCTGTCATTCTTCTACAGAAAGTCCAACAAATTTGATAGACGTTGTGTCCCTCTGCTCAAAGTCCAAAAAAATCGATGGACTTGGGTGGAGAACCAAATAATCTATCTATTGTTTTGATCTAATGGTTGGGGGAATGCTGAAAGCTTGAATGATACTGCAGTACCTTTTCCATTTATTTCATGCAATTACTTGACCTGTTTCCCATTGTATGCTTTAATTATTAAATACACATATGACCGTGGGCAGGAAAATCATGGCTGTTGAGATCACTGTTTGTGATGGAAGGATGTATGCTTCTATGTACTGAAGAGTTCTTGAGTTTTGGCTCCTCAGACCCTGAAGCATCCCCCACATATTTCTCATCTGGCACTTGCTGCTCCATCAGTAACATAGTGGAGATGGTATGGATTTTTCTAGACCCTCTTCAGTGTATCCCTTATTCTCCTCTCTCTCTCTCAATTTGCCAATGGAAAAGGGCTTTTTCTATGATTTTATTCTATTGATGTTTATTTTATCAATAATGATTATTTTTAATCAATGTAAATTCAAAACAAAAAGAAAAAAGAAAAAGCCTCTGGACATGGATGAATGACCATCGCCTCTGGACATGGATGAATGACCATCGCTTCACTTACTGAATTATATAAACTCATTTCAAGTACCATTTAGTCCGTGTGTTAAATTGTTAGTGCCAATAATTAAGCATACATGGGCAAGGTCCTTGGGGGTTTACTTTGGTCATAATCAGAAATGAGCTGCTCATCTTAGAAGCTCTAGAGAATTCCTTTTGATCTTTGCGCTCTTTGTTTTTAGTGAAATAAAATTAACAGGGATGTGATAATTGCAGGTAATCGAGCCCCTAGAAAGCAGGTGCATTACCTTAACTTTGGGCCATGTAATGTCAGAAAATACCTCATTCTCCCCCAAGCTAGGAGAGGGAAGCCAGGAGTCAAAACACAAAGATTTGCAGCCGATAACTTGGAGACTCAAATGGTTCTCTGAAGACACCCTTTTCAAGTTTGTGGCTTTGGTGAATGCCATATATGCAGGAATGACCATGTCTACCCTGCCTGTAAAGTGTATGTCCTAAAGTTTCCTCTTGTATCATAAGTTTTTCTTGTCATTCATTCATTCATTTGTTTTGAATATTTTGGGAATGTTTATTCTTTTCTAGGTTTGGCTGCCTTCTGCTTTGGCAGCTGAGCTGATTGTGTGTAGAGGCTTCTGTATTTTTCCTTCTAAAGCTTGTTTCTATTATTCCTTAGATGGTTGAGAATGCTGCAAATTTTATTGATTTCTAGTTTGTATGCTTTTAAGTTGTTTTTTCATTTAGATGCAGCAGATTTCCTTGGAACTGGCTTTATTTCATGGTGTACATTTTTCAGAAATGCTTCTCGTTGGTTTAGCCAAAATTTCATTGCCACCTGGATTGCACACACTTAAGCCGTATCGCTTCTGAAATTGATCATGAGTTTGGTTTTAGTTCTTATTAGATCGTTTAGAAAAGCATTAGTTGTTAAAACTCGGTCAAAAAATTAGATAAACAGACGTTAGAATTTTGATCACGAAGAGAATGTGGTCTTGAGCTTGAGTAATAATCTATTCTAAAAAAGATTAAGCCATCCAAATCCTATGATGAGTTTTTTATGACTCTGATGATGCATCTGTGTACAAGGAGTTAAGGCCTATGTCGATAGTGTATGGCTCTCTCCATTGAGAGCAGACTGTATACTTGCTCCCTCAGGCTAAACAGCTTTAGCAGGGTATTTTTTTTTCTTTTTTTTTTTTTCATAAACTATTATCTCGGCATCCACTTTGGACGCATCAGATGAGTATTTTCAAAGGAAAACATACTTGGATTTTGAGTTTGGAAAGATTGAAATCTAATTATTTAAAAAGTTGGCGGTTTTTTTTCCAAACTTTTTAAGTACATACAAAATATATTTGAAGTTTTTATCTTTTGAGATCTTAAGGAGGTTACATCCCCAAAATTTATGTATTTCTCCAAATTTAGGGTCCGAAAGCAACTTCTACTAGTGTATGGAGTGAATGGACTTATATGCTCCTGGGGGAGCATATAATCTTTTGACTAAGCTCAACGGGCCGCTGCAGGAAGTGAGGAAGCAATTTGGCCACATGGTTAAGCGTATGACACGTGTTATTGAGGCATTGGTCTGCTTTGCTGTTCGCATTGGAGCATCGAACTATAAGGCGCATGGAACCAGTGTTCCACAACCCAGCCGGGTTGACTCGAAACTGGCCGGCCGGGTAAAGTGGAACTGACCACTAGCTGAGCTGGTTTTGCCAGGTTTGATTGGTCCGGTTCGGTATTTTAACAAAAAATATTTTAAAATATATATGTATATGTATATATGCACATGTTTCAAAAGAGCAGAAAAATATTTTTGCCAAAACTTGTTCCTCCATAGCGAAATGATCCTGATGAAGGGCCCTATTTCCTCTTCTCATCGATCATTAATTTTCGCACCTGTAGAAAAATTAATTCCCATTATTTTAAGATGAGGTTAGGTCACTTTCTATGTTTGGGCTTTTTAGAAGGGTGTGGTTTGCATAAGGTTGCAACCTTAAACAATCCAATTAAGGCGCATATCTAAATTTTATCATAAATGTAATCAACCTTAAACAATCCAATTGAGTCGCATGTCTAAATTTTATCATAAATGTAATTTTGAAATAAAAAATTCTTAGGATGGCTTAAGAATTTATTTTCATTTTTAATTATAAAATTTTAAACTTTAAAAATGATTCAAATCAAGTAGATCTATAAACACATGAAAATATCGAAAATTGGCAGT